AACGTCGTGTTACCACAACAAAGTTAAGAAGCTCCACGGTGAGATATTCATTGCTGTAGTTGCAATATTTAAATCAGTTTTAAACAAGGGTGATTAGTCGCATACAAATAGTAGTGTCATGTGGATGCATGCATGTGGCAGCGTGGTAGTGCATGTGTGTGTGTGTGCGTATGTGTGTGTGTGTGTGTGCTTGCGTGTGCGGGTGTTACCTCCATACATTCTGGTGATAATAGTAGAAATGATAAGTGCGACTACTTGAATCGGCTACAAATAACAGGAATATCGTTCAAAGTACATCAATACATTGAAAAGGTGGACTTGTTCACTTGTTAGCATATGTATGTATTGTTGACATATGTACCTGTTTCAGACGTCCAACAGCTACTCACTGACTACGACGGGCGTGTACTCTGTTGTCCTAACTGTCTATGACAAGGGAGGTAATCTCAGAAGTACAAGAAGAATCCTGATATATGATGGTACTTCAACTGTAACAACACAAGCAAATACATCTCTCCGTGTGACAACAGCAGCATCAGCAACACCAGAGTGGCAAACTACGTCATTATCAGTGACAGTAGACTGGACCAACAGATACATCAACACAGTCCATCACAACAACAAGTGGCTGCTGGGCGTGGCTTCTGTTGGTGACATCAGCTCGGACTATGACGATAAGGAGGGTGACAGAAGTGTGGCTGCCATCAACAATGTTCAGGGTTGGCACAATATACAAGCTTGTTTATACAGAATGGAAATAAACGACAATCAAACGACACTTAGTTCATCCATCACACAATGTGTCAAACATTTGTCTCGCATACAATATTCATGATGCATGTACGCATGTCACTTATGATTGTCATATAGAAGAATACATAATCGCTTTGTTTGCCACTTTTTACGCTGAAACCTAATCTGTTTCCCCTCTTCCACTATTGGTTTATTCAATAAAGGGGCCACAGGCCCATTATACAGTTACATGAGTCATATCATGAAAGTGGAAAATCTGGAGCGCCATAGCACTGTACAATATACATCAATAAACATACACTTAATGGGTTGTACAAGTTTTGTTAAGGTAATTGTTACGTTGTTTGAATGCAAGGAACAAAAACTTCGCTAAACGATTTCAAATGCCTGAATCGTGTGATGTGCAAAGTAATACCAGTTTATCATAAGAAGGATGAGTACAATAGAACTCAGGCAAAATTGTATGTCTGAGATTATAGTAAAAAGGACATTCCAAACACATCTGATATTCTGTCTCAATTACAGGTATAACACAAAATGGACATAACCTAGAATTTCTTGTCAGACCAGAGGTAAATCTGGTAAATGAGGATGTTCTTAATATTAACAGGTGTAACACGATTCTTGACGTCATACAAAGTCGACCACCAAGGAGGGTCGTCCATCACAGTCCACCACCTGATAACCTGTTCACCAGTCAAGGTCTGAATCAGTCACAGACCATAACACCCTCACTAGCGGACGGGGACACTGTACGCTTCTGGATCCGTGTCTATGACATCAGATCCGAATACCTTGAAGAACATGTGACAGTCCACATCGACACATCATCTCCCGTCATAGAGAACAACAGAAGCGGCAGCCTCATCATCAGTATACATCGAGTGGAGGAGCTTCAGGATGTAATGTAAGAACGTTTATTGGGGTTTTACCATTTGGCAATTCAGTGGGGGTTTTATCTTCATCTTTCAAACGTCACAGCTCGACTGCCACACGATTATATATTAAAGTTTGAACATTGTGTGAAATGAAATTCCGGGAATATAATGTATTCACGAATATAAATCTGAAAACATGTGACACACTTTATCAGGCATATCTATATCTGATTGAATAGAATGGAGTTTCATGTGCACGATGAACACAGTGGAGTGGAAACGGTGGAATGGAGAATCACAGAAAAACGGCAAGATGAAGATATCGCTCTAGCTGTCCATGGCATCTCAGTTCAAAGTTATCGTGTATGTCATTGTTTGCTCTTAGTATCAATAAGTTAGGTTGTGAATGGTACAGTGACATCAGAAACCAACAGGACCCTTACCTATAATCTTCTTGTTTTAAGCTACTGAATCTCAAAACAAAGTTATGACTATGATGAAATTAACTTTATATATCAAATGTGATGTTTCAATGAACGAATGATTCCAGACTCTGGACGACTGCAACACCATGAATGATGCAAGGGATGGTAACTGTTATTGTACTCCAGCTGGCACATGTTATCATTCCAACTACCAAGTGAAACCAGCCCTGGCAGACATGAGGGACGTCCAGTTGGCTGAAGGAAAGGCTTACTGGTTTCAAGTCACAGCTACAAATCTTGCTAAACTCCAAACTGAACAGAAAGTAAAGGTAAATGGCTACATTGGTTTGTGTATGTGACATCACCTATGTCGAAGAACTGAGTTACCGTCTAAACCATAAAGGAATCAACTCCTAATTGTCAAAAAGGACGTTTGCGTGGTTTTGAAAAAGAAACATCAATAGACAGACCCATTGCCTTGTAGCACATTGACAAAGTTAAGAAATGAAATTACATGATATTTTAACACAGAACAATAAACCAAGGTGAGCATTAATTAACCTTTGGTCGGAAAAAGCTTTCACTCAGAGGTTCGAGCAAGTATGTCAAGTGTGTTCGTACAATCCAATTTGGTTACTCAATTCAATGTTACGCATTAGAATTTAAACTAACAATAGTACTAATACCTACATCAGATCCAGGTGAATGCAAGTCCTCTTCAATCTGGCTTTGTCTACGATGGTCAGTCTGGACAACTGGAAGTCGACTACCAGGACAGTCTACAGCTCCACGCCCACTGGGAAGGATTCTTTGACAGAGAGAGTGCAATTGCCTTTTACCAGTACACTTTCGGACCAAGATGTTTACAGGGACACGAGTTTGACCTTAATAGCACCAAAAACGTTAGTGTTTTATTGTTGTTTTTGGTGGTTTGTCTGTTTATTGTTTAACGCCACACTCAGCAATATCCAAGTTCTATGAAGGCAGTCTGCTAATAATCGAACTTTGACCAGACAATACAGTGATTGCCATCATGACAATCGATCAACGCAACTGGGATACATGCATAAACCAAGTCAATTAGACTGACCATCCGATCCCCTTAATCGCTTCTTACGACAAGCATGAGTCGCTAAGAAGATTTCGTTCTTCAGAATACATTTCCTTTGGTATCAAGTGTAATGCTTAAACACAAGTTTGCTTTTACATATCCACTATGAGGGTACATTGGAGGTGTATTTACTATGGAGTTACTCTTCTGATGGCAGATGGAATCAACACGCACTACTGCAGCAGCATGGACAGCCCCGTCTTGTGGAACGTTTTACATAACTGTGGTCGCCTATAATGGAGCTCAGCAGAGAAGCGTCGTTTGTTCAGATGGAGTGACGACGTGCAAACCCTCTCCCTTTACCGGTATCTTTTTGCCTGAATTTTCGTTAAACTGAGAATGGCTAACCGTTACTGTACATTTCAATTCTTCAAGACATCATAATCGAAATAGACAATGCATAGATAATATGATTTTCTGTTTTCAGAAAATTTGATGTACAGGTTAACACAACATAAAAGTCAGAATCCATAAGGGGTATATAAAGATGAATGGGTGTCAATGATGAAAAAAACCCTGTTAAACTGCTAAAACATTTTGTTCTCAAGAAAGAGCATTTTTAGAGTTGAAAAATTCAAATGCTTTCATGTCAACAACAGATGAAGAGCCACGTTCACTGGAATACTGGCATGCTACGATCTGCAGATATTTGGTGTTACAAAAGAAACTTTAACTAGCTACAGTTTACAAATAGGGTCTGTAAGTAGGGCGCGTCACTACGCGAGACCTTAATACTTCCGGTAACAAACAACGTTTCATACCTTTTTTAATAGTCTCATGGTTGTCAGTTGATTGTAAGCGGTCAGGTTAGGACGTATGGGCCGACGTGTGTTGTCGACGTCATACCCACCAGATCTAGACCCGGTTTGAATACTGCTGCTTTTGCGCTGCTGGCGAATTTTCTGCTTCGTAGTTTCTTCACTGGGATTAGGGTGAAGAAATTCTTCTTCAAACTGTTCGCTTTTTACTTCAAAAACATCGAAAATGCTGCCGAGTTAGAAATTGCCGATGTCCGACATGTTTGTTTACAAACAAAAGGGTCAATGATTTCATTGTATTCATACGTGGTGAATCGGTCACTTTTATTAGCGGTCTTAAACTGACATTTAAGTACGGTTTTGATGTGCTCTCAGCCAATCAGAATCGAGTATCATACAATGTCGTACTAGAATTTATCTTTGTGTATATTATATATCTCTTATAACTCCTTATAAGAGTGTCTCAATCTTCTATTGTTTTTTTGTACTGTATCTACATGATATTGAGGTGAGAATGTAACAAACAATCTGCCTGTCTGTCCGTCTACAATTTGATCGTAACGTCAATCGTGAACTAGTTAAAACCAGATACGAACATTAACAATAATATTCATTTGTACTGATTGAGTTTTAATTAAAAAGGTAGGCTTTAGCTTGAAACTATATTTTAAACGGGATGCTAATGTGCCATTGTTCATATAAACCGTTGATGTGTTTCTTGACTACTTTCCGATAAGAATAGTGTAGTTTTTATTCCATACATGTTATTACATTTATTTATTATTAGTCTTTTATTACATGAATAAAACTTTGAATCATGCACCTTCCTTAGCACAAGTGATTTATATTTAAAACTCGATGATATAATATATACAGGTATAATATGTCTTTTGTCATCAGTATTAATCTCACCAGTAATAACATCACCCCACGTCACACATATGATCCATTCTTTTATCAGACAGTAATTGACTGGTCATTAGGCCTGGTAATAGGAATATCATGTCAAATTGAAAAATGAAATACCAAGTCCTGATATCTCCACATCTTCGTACAGGAAGCCTTGTACTGATTGTATCGGTTGCTGCGTCTGCTGTGGTTGTAGTTGCTGGCATTGTCATTGGAATAGTTGTCTGGAAGAGGAAACAAAGGTACTATATTTCATGAAATACCCCGTCTACTATGCATTATCGATATTAACACCCAATTCAGTGAACATGATGTCACCACTGGTTAAACATCATTTTACTTGAATCAAAGAAAACCAGTTTAAACAGTATTTGTATTTTGAGAACTTAGCTTCATAAGTGAGACACACTTTTAGCCTGTGAACATTTAAACATGGCCAATGATTTGACATTGTTTCTAACAAGCTAAGCGTTCGATCGTCACGCCGAAGACCTAGGTTCGATTCCAATGTATAAAGCCTATTTCTGGTGTACCCCCGTGATATTGCTGGAATATTGTCACAAACGGTGTAAAACCATACTCACTCACTCTAACACGGTAAAACATGTTCAGGATCTCAATGCATCATTGATGAGGAAAACAAGATATCTCGGGTGTCTTTCAGGTTATTTCTTAAATGTATTTTGTACCAAATGAATTAACCCGATCATTCATTAATGACCTGTAGAATTTGTTTGAGCGAGTCGTTTGATTTTCATACATTGATGTTTATTTATTACAGAGATCAACCGAAGATCTCAGATCAAGTTGTACGCTACAACATAGGTTCATATGAAAACGTTAAACCTGCAAAGACAAAACCTGAAGACAACAATCGTCAGTTCGATGACATGACGTATGACAAGCTTGATGTCAACTTACGCGATAGAGGACCTGATGAAGAACCATACTGTTCCATACAGACTCGTCGATCGGACGAAACAGACATATATGAATGTATTGATAGCATTTGCGAAACTCCACAAGTTATGTCCAGCATGACATCGAGTGGCATACGTGAAGAACATTGAATACCGGATTACGGCCACAAACATCACTCACATGCATATACTTTTTTAAAAATTATACAAATCTATAGTTTCAACAAATACCTGCGAAGACCCGGGTTGGAAATCATCTTCAGCAGTCCATGCATGTCGTAAAAGAGGACTGACAGTTCGGGTAGTCAAACTTATTTACCTGGTTGATCATCTTCAGCAGTCCATGCATGTCGTAAAAGAGGACTGACAGTTCGGGTAGTCAAACTTATTTACCTGGTTGATCATCTTCAGCAGTCCATGCATGTCGTAAAAGAGGACTGACAGTTCGGGTAGTCAAACTTATTTACCCGGTCGATCATCTTCAGCAGTCCATGCATGTCGTAAAAGAGGACTGACAGTTCGGGTTGTCAAACTTATTTACCTGGTTGATCATCTTTAGCAGTCCATGCATGTCGTACAGTTGGACAGTTCGGGTAGTCAAGCTTATTTACCTGGTTGATCATCTTTAGCAGTCCATGCATGTCGTAAAAGAGGACTGACAGTTCGGGTAGTCAAACTTATTTACCTGGTTGATCATCTTCAGCAGTCCATGCATGTCGTAAAAGAGGACTGACAGTTCCGGTAGTCAAACTTATTTACCTGGTTCATCGATGCCCATGGTGCCAGTCACTGGATTACCGTCATATAGCTGGAATCTTGCTGGGTGCTGCGTTAGATAACAAAGATGCATGAAACAGCAAACAATACAAATGTTAAAGGAACATTGTCACTGCGAGGATATAGACCTAGCATCCTCCAGCAAACACATGACTGTACATTTGAGGGGCACGACTCAAGTTCCGCAAGTCCAAAATTCGCAAAAGGGAATGTGACAAGCATTTACATATAACCTTTCTCCTGTTTGATTTAATAGAATTATCACGCCTTTGACAAGATTGGAAAAATCATTTTGCAGAAAAGTGGTCCTGGGTATTGTAAGTATTCGAACCTTTTAACTCCTGGGGCCAAATTCAAATTGTCAAACATTCCTGAATATAATTTGACCTTACAGAGCTCGAATTGTCAGCAACAAATGTTTTGTTATTTTTTTCGAAACATACCCAACCCCTCTATAAATATGCCTCGAAAATAAAAATAATTAATCACAGCCATTGTCACATCTTTCTGGTTATTGTTGGAACTTCCCACTGAATGTAGGGTGATTAACATACACGTGGTCGTGATGCTCAGCTATCATATAACATTGTTTTACGTTGAATTACATAAATAAAAATGGGAATACTGACATTTAGATTGAAACATGCATCATGTTAAACAAATGTATGCGTTGTTAATTTATATTTTCGTATTTATCAAGTTATGGTTGTGCTTCATTTCACTACTATCTATTGACCAAAATATGGAGCATGTTCAACATACTTGACAAATATATATTTCAGGATTTTATAATTTCTCACATCAAATAATAATTCAGTTATTGAAACCGTCCGACTCCGATGATTGATGAGATGAGAGCGTCATTGTACACTATGTAATTTATCTGCAATTGGAGATGTGTTTTTCGGAGTGCCATTGTGCTTCAACTACCATTACATCCCATACAATTGTCACATGTTGCCTCATATGTGCAAATCAAAAAGATAATAATGTGAGTGCAGATTCATTGATAATTTAATTTACAGTACGTTAGTGCAACTAAATCACACAAAAATGTAGACATCTTGATCGTCATTAAATAGTTACATATTGTATGCCAAATTATGATACAAAATATAAATATTCTTGCACAACTGTTGGTTTTGTTTCGTTCGTTTGGAGATATTAAAGTGTTTTGTACTGTCTGAGTATTCAAGACTTGTTTCTTGTCATGATGTTTGGTGTATGAGCATCGATAGAGAGGCATGGGGACAGAGGGTCTTATCTTTTGTCTACCTTGGGTTAAGGCCGGTGCTTAGGGGCACCACTATTGCTATGTGTTCATATGGCACATATGTACTTTTTGTAAATATGTATATCAATTTAGTCTCACCTTTCCCTACCAAGAAGGTCAGACATCCAGATCACACTGCCGCCAAATTGGACCAGGTATTCCAGAACACGAACTTCTGAAGTAAATGTCATGGCTCCGATGGCCAATGCTATGCTCATATAATACACAATGCCTTTGAGGTGCTTTATTTTCGTGTGCTCGAGTCCTGGATGAGAATGAAACCCCACAAAGTACTGGAATGTTTTTGCTTCGCCTTACTGAATGTGATCCCAAACATAACATCATCGTTGTATCTCAAGTAAGTTACTGGATTGTCTGGTCCAGAAGCTAATACTTACAGACTGCCGTCATAGAGCTGCAATATTAATGGGTGCAGAGTTAAACAAACAAACGTGTTCATTATATGGTCAGAATTGAACAGTTGACTCTACTATTTGTGGATGTGGAAAGGGTTTTGTCGCTTTTACTTACTTTTGACCACTTACTACCAGCCATTGTATATTCACCATTAGGAATGTGAGTAGACTAACGTACAGACGCTTTGGCATTTTGTGACTCTCCATAAGGGACGTAACTCTACTAGTCATAACTCAACGTTTATCTATCCTTCAGGATCTGTGGTAGGATTCACGCCAGGCGTCTCCGCCTTATTAATCAAGCCTTAAGAAAACTTGCTTAACGGCATTTCCAGACATGCACATTTGAAAAGGCTATTCATGTTTTTTCATCCAAAAATACATTCACTGAATGAGATATACATTCCGCACAATATCCGAGAAGATCATGATTTAATCGATGAACAACGGTCACAGTCTTTGAGTTGTGTGTTGCACCGCAAGTCAACGGGAACATGTGCATGTATTTTCACGGCATGAAATACATGCACATTTTCCTTGGCAATAGCAGTGTTAAGGAAGGAAAACCAGTGCGATACAGGCTAAGATGTCTACCACAGTGATTTAAATTCACACGCACTGTGTTGACACAGCCGAATCAAACACTGGACGCGTCTTGGGTGTCAGACGGCTGGTGTCAGTTCGCAGCAATTGCATTTCAACCAAATTAGTATTCATTTAAATTATCATTTCCTATTACATCTATGCCAGTACGTACGTATGATTGGATGAATAAACGCCAGAACATGTCATGCTTTTACTAAGGAAGAAGACATACACATGTCATAAGATAACCTGCAGAGTCACCGTGTGTCACCACTTCTCCTGAAAAGTGATTGTGGGGCTGTACACTTATTACACCTTCACATAACACTATGTATACTAATGCAATAAAGTAACTGTGCATTATGCCATTTTGTAATGCAAAAAAGATAACAACAGGGCATGTAGTGTTTTCTTTAATCACTATTTAACTGTTGACAGGATAATATCGAAATCCCTGTGATTTGACAGTAGGCATTGTGACACGCCCTTAAAGAGATGTGGTGTCAAAAGTGTCAAATCCAGTATCACGTGTGTCCACCATTGGCGTTGACGCAGGCTTGACAACGACGACGTTTAGATGACACTGAGCGATTGAAGAAAACTTGGGGAATGTGGTTCCATGACTGAACCAACGCTTGTCCCAATTCAGCTACATCAATGGCTGCTTCTGGGATTGTCGTAAACATCATTCAGTTCCATCCCAAGCGTTCTCCATAAGAGACAGGTCCGGGGAAAAAAAAAGCAGGCTAGAGGAGTTCTGTAATGTTCTGCTGTCTCAGGAAATCTGTTACAACACGAGCGACATGTGAACGGGCATTATCTTGCTGAAGCGTGAAGTTATGTCACTGTCCTTGAATGAACGGCTGCAACTGTTGATGTTGAACAACGCATGCGTCAGCATACCATTGACCTCTGAGCACCCTTGCCCTGATACCTAAACTGTCCCTATGAAATCTCGACTCGTCAGTGAAAGAAACAACATCCCAAACTTGTCTCCTGTACCGTAGAAGTTTTTCCCCAGGCAAGACGAGTAAAATTGGACTTATTACAGGCCGTCGGTACCGGAGGCTGTGCTCCTTCAGTCGGTTCCGTACAGTCCTGGATCTGATTGGACATAACCCAGGAATGGTCTAAGCTGTCAAACTTGCAGTTTGGAATCGATTCCTTAGATGGGTCAGCCGAATGAAGTTGTCTTGCTGACACAACGGTCCGAAACAACTCTTTCTTATTCCCGTTATGTTGAAAACGTCTCCACAGAGATGGGATCGTGTTTCGATGGACACCAAAATGGCTGGCCAATTCAATTTGGGGCATTCCCGTCTCAAGCAAAACCACGGCGCTTTCTGTGGCATGACGTGCACGCAGTTTAGGTTGAAGTTAACGTGTTTTCCATAGTGTTAGAGAGCCTAGAGAATAATCATCCGTTCGTCAATTTATAATATCATGCAAAGTGCTTTGCTAAATGTTTATTTAGGGTAATATTTGTAACTTTTCAAATAACTTTATTTTATGCAATTTTATGCTATACACAGTTACATTTTCCCGTGAGTATATAATATAATCAGCGACGCTTGTACATAACTAGAATCAGAGTCCTCCCCGCTACAGTTGACGTTGATCCGGCCTGCCATATTCGAATGTCAACGCTTCTCTGGAATATAGTCAGTCGAACCATGTGTACGTGGCTAGTATGCAATGGTTTGTTGGTTTTATATTGACGTTTACAAAGGGTTGGCAATTTATCTTTTTGAATTTCAATAGCACTTGCGTTTCTTTTATATGCATTACAGATATGTCTGACCAGCATAGGTATCTTGGACGCTAGGCATACAATGACTGACATGGAGTGTCAAATTTGTCTTCCTTGACATTCAAAGTATTCGTTGTTGCTCATGCAGGAAAATTTAGATCGAAGACAGTTACCTAGCTGTAAATCACTTTTGTTTGCTTTTCCAGAGTGTGTGCGTTGAAAACGATTACTCTTATTTGCCTGCTCGCATTGCATTTGTCAACAATGCCATGCACTGTCAAACTTCCTGGTATGGCTCACTTCAACTACTGGCCTCATCGACAGTTGGACCTGTTTATACCAAGGATATAGCTGCGCTGATTACACGGATGCCATACCAGCGGGCCAGATGACTGTTGTGATTGTTCGTCTCGTCACAGACAGACATAATTGGGAGGTATACTTTTTAAAAGAGTGAGTCAGTGAGCTAAAACTTTACATCACATGGCCAATATGTCAGCCATATTGTGACGACAAAAAGTCATTAATGTATACTTTTAAAAACCAAGAACGATAAGATTACGGTTGAAAACGTAAGTACATTTAAGATGCATTTATCTTTATTTATCTATATATGGTTCGTGTATAAAATATTAAACCTTTTTGTTTCATGGCATTCTCTATTCTACTGATAGCTCTGAACACCATTACACTGTGCCCAGTATGATAGATTAAATAATTATTCAAATTTTGTGCAGAGGTTACTTAGCCAGGTAACTGAGATGCCATGATACAGCTAAACATTCATACCCGTTCTGTATATTCACTTAACAAAGTACCCGTGAAGATCCGGGTTAGAATATTGATCTTCACTAACCCATGCTTGTCGCAAAAGGCGATTAACGGGATCGGGTGGTCAGGCTCGCTGACTTGGTTGACACATATCACCAGTTCCCAATTGCGAGGATCGATGCCCATGCTGTTGATCACTGGATTGTCTGGTCCAGACTCTGTTATTCACAGACCGCCGCCATATAGCTGGAAAATTGTTGAGTGCGGCGTAGAGGTA